AAAAGTTTGGAACAACACTGGATTAATAGCACCATTATTATATATCCCATTGCCACGAGTTCCTACAGGGTCAGCCCACTAAGACTACATGGTGACAGAGCAGAGGAAGGCAATGGATGCCCTCCCAGGGTTTGGGACCATAGTTCCCACAGTCTCTTGCCAGTGGCGTTGGGCAGTGTTTCTCAACCTTGGCTGCTTTAAGATGTATGACGAATACACTCCTGGGAGTTGAGGTCCACCCATCTTAAAGTGGCCACGGTTGAGAAACACCGGCCTGGAGCGTTCCAGGCCATCTGTCTCTGGACAAAATCATCTGCATCCTAATTCTGGGAAGCCACCATTTCTAGTGGCAGTGAAGGGCAAGGTGGGCAAATGGGGGGCTGCTTTGGCAGAGAGGCTGAAGTCCTGGAAAGGGGCCTTGCTGGTGGAGGGGGCAGGAGTAACCTAAGATACCAAGAGAGCATCAGCACAGAGGGGACAAGGAAGGTGACGGAAGGCAAGCGTGGAAGAGAAGAACGTCCCAGAGGGCTGGCCTAGAACCGTAGGTTAAATCTCCAAGGATGGAGGTTGACTAGACATCAGGAGGAACTTTCTATGAACAGGCTGCCCCATAAGGGGTGAGTTTGCCCTCATTAGAGGTCTTCAGGCAGGGACTGGATGGCCATCTGTCAGAGATACTGTGGTGGATCCTGCGCTGAAGAGGGGTTCTGGGACGCTGGTCATTGACTGAATAAACCTAACCGGTACTGGGCTTCTGGGGCTGGATAAAATGGCCTCTTAGATCCCCTTCAACTCTGTGGTTCCACAGTTCTGGAGAAGTCTGTGGCCCTTCTGCTTCTCACATAGCCTCTCCTGCTTGGAGCCCCTGGCCTTTCTCCAGAGGCTGGCTCTCCCTCCAGGGCAGGCCTGTGCTCCTGAGGCCCCTTTGTCACCTCTGAGAGGAACGGGGGTCTGCAGATGCGCCCTTGAAGTTGCCAGCTAGATTCCTACCCCACTCTCACCCTCAGCCAGACACAAAGGCTGCTCACGTGGGGGTCTCACGGTCTGCATGCCTGGGAGCAGGAAAGGGGCCAGCTGAGGCTTTGCAGACCACCTTCTCTTTTCTTAAAGCACTCCAGTCTGCTTTAAATGGAGGGGGCTCGTTGCTGACATTACCCTTTTGGTGCAGTTATTACAGGACTTTTCTAACAGGCTCATTTTTGAGGTATTTCTCGCTCCATCTTATAGGCTGACTCTCTTGAGGAGGTTTGCCTCAAAAGCTTGAGTGAAAATCCTGCAAATAACAACATGCTCGGCTTGGGGAGGGGCAGGAGAAGTGGGGAAAGGGAGGAAGGGGTGGCTGGGAGCTGTCCCCAGCGGGAAAACCCTCCTTCTGCAAACAGGCCTTCGACCACCACCATCACTCTCTTACTAGACACTAGATGGCGCTCCAGGCTCTTCCGCAACCAGATGCCTCCAGAGGTGCTCCCTGGTCCAAAGTTGGCACAATGACTCAGCTGGCTGTGGATGGTGGGAGTTTCATCCCGCACATTGGGAGCATAGCAGCCTCTGTGAATGGGTCTAAATGTCTGCTGTGGGTTCATTCTGAGTGCCAAGGTGCTGGTCTGGCCTCTGCACAGGGCATTTGTGTGTTGTGTGGACTCAGAAGGTTTGGTGAGTTTGGGGGAAAGCAAAATAATCTGGTGTCTAGAGCCCCCCCCCCCCCGCAAGCAACGGTATCTGCAGGAAAGAGGTCAAAAAAGTCAAGATGGAGACGCTGGTAAACAAGGCAGGTCTTTGATCGCAGAGTTGTGGTGGCCAACTTGACTGTTTGGACTCCCTGCCGCCCAGGAAAGATAGCAGCGACTGGGACATTTTAGCTTAGAAAGAAGGGGGATCCCTTCCCTGTGGATGGCACTGAGGAGACCGCCTCGGCCACTGAAATTCCCTGGGGGGCTTGGGGCCAGTCACTCTCTCTCAGACTGACCTACTTCGCAGGGCTGGTGTTGAGGGGAAGGGAGGAGGAAGCATGACCTGCGCCGCCTTGCTCGTAAATAACGGAATAAATCGGAGAGCGCCTGGCTGGAGGGAGCTGACCTGGGCGATTTCGGAGGCGAGTCCTCAGGTTTTCCTCTTTGGCCGCCCGCGACGGCTCTGCGCCTGCTGGCCGAGGACGCCC